ACATACATACATACATACATACATACATACATACATACATGCATGCATACGTACGTACGTACGTACATACATAAATACATACATACATACACACACATACATACATACATACATACATACATACATATACATACATACATACATACATACTTACATACATATATATACATACATACATACATACATGCATGCATGCATGCATGCATGCATGCATACATACATACATACACACATACATACATACATACATACATACATACATACATACATACATACATACATACATACATACATACATACATACATATATGCATGCATGACATATACATATAACTATAAATACGTGTCTGTCCGCCACCGTGTCTCTGGGCACGGAGTGGGTGTGCCCTCAGGTTCACTGCCGAATCCTCTAAGCCCCAGTCCTCCACTCTTGCAGAGCCTCTCGGGGCCCCCCGCATCGCCACACCCCTCGGGGCTTCCCGCGTGCCCCTCTGGGGCTTCCCGCGGGGACACACAAATAAATACACACAAATAAAAATATCCCCCATATTTTCCTGTATCTTCTGGGTTTGTGTCTTCCCCCCCACTTCCCATATTTTCCCATATTTCCTGGGAATCGCCGGTTAATTGTGTCTGTGTGTTTCTTTCCCTCCTGAGACTCTTCGGAGGCACGAGGGCCCCAAGACGGGCCCAGAGGGCTCCAAGAGGCCCCGAAGACTGTCCAAGTAGGCCCCGGGCCGCCGACCGGTCGGCGCAAGCTGCCCAAGGAGGCGCAAAAACGGCAAGAGAGGCCTCCAAGACGTCCCACGAGGCCTCCACGAGGCCGTCGCGCGCTGGGGAGAGGCCTCCCGAGAGGCCTCTCCCTAGCGCGCAGAGCGCGCCACGGGCGGCGCCGGAGGCGCCGCCAACGGGGCCCACCGCAGATCCAAGAGATCGGCGCGGAGCTCCGAAAATTTGTGTCGATGCAAGTTGTTCTTGTTCGACCGTCTTCGTCCAGGTACCAAGTGCCTTGCGCACGCGGGGGGCCGAAAATGTGCCGCCCAGAAAGGCCGTAGGTGAGACAACCTGGGAGGCGAGTGGCCAACGAAGCCAGCCGGGTGGCAGACCCGAGCTCTCCTGCGGCTTCCGCACAAAGAACTGCTTTCTGCGGTTCTACAGGCGCCCGACGGAGCCCAAGATTCCCCAGATGTTTCAGATTCTCTGATTGATCGTATTCCCATTCATCTCTCATGTGTTTCCATAGGTTCCATATGTCTGTGTCGATGTTCCCCTCCGAAGCTCTCGGGACCAGACTCGGGCCCATGAGGTTTGAGGGCACGGCGAAGGGAAGACCAGCTCCATGAGAGGGTACCATCGAGCCGGGATCGGCGATGCGCCGCAGCGAAGCCGCCGATGGGCATACGATGGCCCAACTGCACGCCCCCGGGCGGGGCAGGCCATCAGACCCCCAGCGGTGCTGCATAGGCGACCAGGGGTCGATCCGCTTCCCCCCCTGGATCACCTCGGGGTTGCCCCCTGGTCTCCGAGCCGCAGCTCGGCGATCCGGCGGTCGTTCGGAGCGATCTGTGAAGGGGCCCTGAGACCCACAAATACATACACACACACACAAATAAAAGGATTCCCCATATTTTCCTATATTTTCTTGGTTTTTGTCTCCCCCCCCAGTTCCCATATTTTCCAATATTTTCAAGGGAATCGACGATGAATTGTGTCTGTGCGTTTTTTCCCCTCCTGAATCTGGGCACCCCCGGACGCCTCTCGGCGAAGCGCAGCTGCTGGAAAGCATCTCCCGAGGCCGGAACACCGCCGCGGACCGACGACGACACCTGAGAAAACCGAGCCCATCCCCCTGAGCCGCTCCCCCCGTGAGCTCCCGTCCCCGCTGAGCGTACCGTCCCCCCCAACAAGAGGCCTCCAGGGAGGGATCGAAGCGGATGGGGTCGTAGGAGCGCGCCCATGCATCGTCGATGCGTCGCCGACGCCGGGGTGGGCTCCATGTAGCTCCGCATCGCCGATGCATCGGCGATGCCTCTGACCACATCTACTGCAACCCCATCTAGGAGGCATAGGTCCACCACCGTGCCCGCTGGCACGTTGAGGCGTGGATGAATGTCAAGTTCTGTCTGGTATGGTTTTTCTGCAGGGAGTTCTGAAGGGGGACCGCCCCTCCCTCTACCAGCAGACTCCTGCGTGCATCGCTCCTCCTTTCCGAGGCCGCTTCCCTCGCGCCTGCTCGAGGATGGTGCACTCCCAGCATGGCCGCTAATGACTCATCCCCCATTCCACGCGTGCCCGCTCGAGCATGGTGCACTTCCAGCGTGGCACCTCATGCATGAGCCCCTCTCCCGCGCGTGCCCGCTCGAGCATGGTGCACCTCCAGCGTGTCACCTAATGCCTGAGCCCTTGCTCCACCTGTGCCCGCTCGAGGATTATCCACCTCCCACGTGGCTTCCAACTCCTGGGCCCGCTCGAGCATGGTGCACCTCCAGCGTGGCACCTCATGCGCGAACCCCTCTCCCGCGCGCGCCAGCTCGGGGATGGTGCACTTCCCGCACGGCAGCCACTGCCCGCGCCCCTGCTCCGCCTGCGCCCCCGCTCGAGGACTATCCGCCTCCCACGCGGCTGCCAACTCCTGGGCCCCGCATTCCCGGGCGCATCCGCTCGAGGCTCGTGGACTTCCCCCGCAATCCCAGGCGTTGCTCCAAAGCACTCCAAGGCCTACCAAAGTCACGACGCCTCGCTCGAGACGAGGAATGTGCGCCCCGAGCGTCCAAGACGGCCCGTGCAGGCAACCAAGGACATCCAGATGGCCCCAGAATGCCTCAAAGACGGCCCAAGATGGCCCCACCACCACCATCACCAGCAGCAGAATCATCATCATCATCATCATCATCATCATCATCATCATCATCATCATCATCATCATCATCATCATCATCATCATCATCATCATCATCAGCATCATCATCATCAGCATCAGCATCATCATCATCATCATCATCATCATCATCATCATCATCATCATCATCAGCATCATCATCATCAGCATCATCAGCATCATCATCAGCATCATCATCAGCATCATCAGCATCATCATCATCATCAGCATCAGCATCAGCATCAGCAGCATCATCATCAGCAGCATCATCAGCATCATCATCATCGTGATCATCATCATCATCATCAGCATCATCATCAGCAGCATCATCATCATCATCATCATCATCATCATCATCGTCATCCGCATCAGCATCAGCATCATCATCATCGTCAGCATCAGCATCATCATCATCAGCATCATCATCACCATCACCATCGTCATCATCAGCATCAGCATCATCAGCATCATCATCAGCATCATCATAATCAGCAGCAACAAAGGCGGCCAAAGATAGCCCCAAGGTTGCCGAATATTGACCCAAGACGGCCCAAGGTGCCTCTAAAAGGACCCTACCTAGCCACACGAGGACCCCCAACAGGGCCCGAAGAAGCCAATGTGCTGTCCCTTTGGGTTTTCGCAGGGGCTTCGCATTATCGCCTTTTCGGGCTGCCGTCAGCAAAAGGCAGCCCGAAAAGGACTCCACGACGGCCCAAGAAACACCAAGACGGGATCACGTGAACCGAAGGCGGCCTTAGAAGGGTCGTCGATGGCCCAAAACGGCGCCAAGACGGCCCCATGACGCCCCCCCCCCCCAGGCACCCACCATACGGCCAAGAGGACACCGAGACGGCCAAAGAAAGCCCCAAGCGGGCGTAATAGGACCCCAAGTCGGCCCAACAGGGCCCTACGGGACCCACAGACTACAGTCAACCCGCGGAGTAAGGATGCACGATAAGGATGTCAGAGCCTTGGAAAGCCATGTTGGCGTTTTTTGAACGAGGTTGGCCAGCGAGAGTCGCCAAGGATGGGCCGAAGGGGCAAGGATGCAAGGGTACCCTTGGGAAAGTCGCCCATCCGTACTACGCGGGTTGACTGTACCTCAAAGGAGACTCAGCATCATCAGCATCATCATCATCAGCATAATCATCATCATGATCAGCAGCAGCATCAGCACCAGCATCATCAGCGTCACCACCACCACCATCATCAGCAGAATCAGCATCATCAGCAGAATCAGCATCAGCATCATCATCATCATCATCATCATCATCATCATCATCATCATCAGAATCAGCAGCGACATCACCATCATCAGCATCAGCAACAGCAGCAGCATGAGCATCATCATCGTCATCAGTATCATAATTGTCGTCCTCGTCATCATCATCAGCAGCAGCACCATCACCGTCACTATCATCAGCATCATCATCAGCCTCATCATCATCAGCAGCAGCATCATCAGCAGCATCATCATCGTCATCATCATCATCAGCAGCATCATCAGCATCAGCATATACAGCATCATCATCAGTTTCAGCATCGTCACCATCGTCAGCATCATCATCGTCGTCATCATCTTCATCATCATTATCAGCTGCATGACCATCGTCATCATCATAATCAGGATCGTCATCATCATCAGCATCATCATCATCATCAGCAGCATCAGCAGCAGCAACAAACTAAGAATCATCGCCATCATGAGCATCAACAGCATCATCAGCATATCCATCATCATCAGCAGCATAATTTTCCTCCATCGTCAGCATCATCAGCATCATCAGCATCGTTACCACCATGACCAACAAGAACAGTAGCATCAACGCCATCATCATCATCACCATCATCATCATCAACATCGCGACCATAATCATCGTCATGATCGTCAGCAGCATCATCATCATCATCACCACAACCATCATCACCGTCATCATCACCTTCCTTTATCCCATCTCCATCATCCTCATAATCCTTATCATCCTCACGGCTCCCACAAGCCTGGAGACACAATGTGTCTCACGTGACGGCCTCCTGTGCCCTTTCGGACAGTCGCCACCCAGCGCCGCCGCCGAAGCGGCCCGCCCCCGAGAGCCGTCCGCACAAACCCGCCCCCGCGATCCTTGTACCAGACAGCAACGATCCGCGGGTCCCGCACGAACGCCACCGCCATCGACCGGCTCTTGGCGACGGTTCGTCTGAGGAGACGCCACGAAAATCTGTACACAGACGCCCGCCGACGAGTTCTGAATGTGCCTTCATGGAGGGTGGCGGTGCTCAAGATCGCTGGCCCTCGGTGTGATGCACCGCCGCCCTCTCTTGAGGCCCAGGAACTATCCACTGGGGGATGTCTGTGGGGAAACCAAAAGATAGCGAGGCCGCTACTCCTGGACCTCTCCTGGGGTGCGATCTGACCAGAGTTTCGAGGCGCATCCGGCGGTGGCGGCGAGGGCATCCCAGGAGGCCGACGAGGGCGAAAAAACGGGCCAGGGCAGCGGCATCGCTGCCTGCCCCCGCGGTCTCGCTGCAGTTCCCCCCTCTGAGTCCGTGTACATCTTTTGCGGCGGAGAGTCGGGAGCGGCAAAGAGGGGGGTGTCCAAGAGGGGGGGGTGTAAATCATGACCGGCGGCACGTGCGCGGCCCAGCGGGGGGGCCAGGGCCGTAATGAAATAAGAAGAGGCGCCATGAAATAAGAGGAAAAATCATGGCCCGCGCCATGAAATCCACCCCCCCCCTAGTCATCACCCCCCTCTTTTCCGGCCCCGAGAGAGGAAGCCATTTTTTGTGTTGGCTCGGCCCTCGCGCGCTGCGGGGGGCAGACGGGGGGCGTGGGAGCAGCCGCGCGTGCCCGGGCCAGCGCCTCGCCGAGCGCCTCACGCCCCCACTCTCGCCAGTGGCGGTGCGCCTCAGGACAGTCTCCCTGCCCCCCCTCCTCCTCCCCCGCCTCATCCCTCCCGCCCTCCTCCTCCATCATCCATCCTCTCCCCTCCCTCCCCCCCTCCCTCTTCAACCCTCCTGCTCCTCACTTCCCTTCTTCCTTCACTCCTCCCCCCTCGACATAAACTTCCCCAATCCTTTTGTTGTATCCAGGATCGAAGTGCCAAACGAACGATGGACCACAATAGTTACACCAAACAGGCCCGGAGCCACCGTAGGGGGATCAACAATATTTATCCTGTCCAAAATGGAACTCAACACGCAACAACAACAACAACAACAACAACCACCACCACCACCACCACCACCACCACCACAACAACAACAACAACAACAACAACAAGCACAACAACAACAACAACAACAACAACAACAACAACAACAACAACAACAATTACTAGCACGTGGGGACACTCCGTTCTCACCAGTGCCAGGGTTTTCATAGGAGGCGGGCAATACCCCCACTTTGTGGGGGGGCCGGTTCAAGCTCTACCAAATTTCCAAACGACTCTTCGCCACCACCCACACCCAGCTTCCCGCCCTATGACGTTCGGACACTTCACTTCGTGGCATGCGGACGACCGTGGCTACTATTCAGGGCCCCGCGGCCGACGACGACGGCGTGCGCGCGCGAAGAAAAAACGAATGTGTCCCGCATGGTATTATTTGACAGGGATGATGGCCCTGGCAGGTGCGCAACCGTTGTTGCAGAAGTTCGAAAAAGTTGCTCGCAAAAGCCCGTTTGACAGAAATGTTTAAAAAGTGTTGGGTTTCCTACGAATCCGCAAGAGCGCGCGGGATGAAATTTTGACATTTTTTTTTTTTTGAAAAACATTGGTTTTTGATGTTTTTATGTTAAAATCGCTACGAAAACTAAGGTTTTGGAAGGATTTCGTCTTGCGCGCGCGAATGTCCACTTTACCTTATTTTTTGCAAGGGATTCTTGAAGTTTGGTTATGTTAGAACAAGAAATGTCCACTTTAGCTTATTTTTTGCAAGGGAAAGCGGGGGACAACAAAACAACCGGATCTGGTACACATCGTTTTGCCTGAGACTTCCTCACGAAAATGATGAAAACGTGGCTGCGGCCTAGGCGCGGCGGGGGGGGCGCGCACCAGGGGCCCCAACAATAATTATTCTTAAGAAGAAATAATGTTCAACAACAACAACAACAACAAGGACAGCAACAACAACAACAACAACCAGAACAACAAAAACAACAACAACAACAACAACAACAACAACAGCAGCAGCAGCAACAATAACAACAACGACAACAACGACAACAACAACAACGACAACAACAACAACAACAACAACAACAACAACAACAACAACACCAACAACAACACTACGTATCTTGCTTCGAATGGTCCCGACCCGTAAGCGCGAGGCCAGCGAGGCCAGATACCCAGGGAGCACCCAGGGCATTGCGGCCGCGGCACGCAGTCGTCGCTCGTCGAAGGCGCGAGGCGGGATACCCAGGGAGCACAACCACACGTTGGGCCTGGTGGCCGCGGTTTACAGGCAGCGCACGGCGGGTGGAACCTAACAACCCCGACCTGTCGGGTGCGCAACAGACACGGCTCCTGCAGCTGTCCGCGAATCTCAGCGCCATCTTCGTGCCGACCTTCCTCGCCTGCTCCAGGCTTCCTCCCGCCGCGGCCGCCGGGGGGCTGCAAAAAAGAAACGGCGCGGCTCAACATGCAGCGGGCAGGCAGGCAAGAAGACCCTGATGCAGGGTGGTATGCAAAAGCACACAAAGGGACACATTGGAAGAATCGAGCGACCCTGCCAGCGTGTGCGAGAGGCTTGACTCGTCGTCGTCGTCGTCGTCATCGTTTCCGTCGCCGTCGCCGTCGCCGTTGCCGCTTCCCTGTTTTGCCTGGGTCCTGCTCCATTAGCGCGCCGGCCAAAGCGGAGCAGCCCAAGAGGAATTGAGCAACGCCGTCACGAAGACGAAACAACCTCTTTCCCTTTGATACCTTCCCCGCGGGGGGGGAAACCCAGAGGGGGGTGAACGGGGGGGGCCCGGAGGTGGCCCCAGATCAGAATAACATCCCCCCTGGGATGTCTGGGGCCCACGAAGCCTCCCAGGGGCCCCCACGAGGCCCCCAAACGCCCCCACGAAAAACTCCCCAAACACCCTCAAAACTTCCCCCCCAGAGGCCCCCAGAGCGCTCCAACTTGAGCGCGTTCCTCCTCAAACGCGCCAGACAATCAAAGCGAAATTGAGTCATCCCGTGAGGCGGGCGGGTCCTGGGTCAGAATACCACCCCCCGCAAGAGGGTCACGACGCCCAAGAGGCCACCAAAAGGCCCACAGGCACCCCCAAAGAACCGCCAGGAAGCCCCAGGAGGCTCAGAAAAGGCACCCAAGACACCACCAAGACGTCGAAGTGGTTTTGGGGCACCTGTTGGGGGCCTCGTGTGGCCTCTTGGGCACTCTTGGGAGCGTCTGATTCCGACCTTCCCGACTGCATTTTCCATCGTGGGGGTCGTCATCCAGGGTCGGCGGCACCGGCTGCAGAGCATCAGAGATGATTCTGCGCACCTGGGAACCCACATCTTCACTTCACCCCAGGCGATGTCCTGGATGTCGGCCTATGAGGCATGTTTTCGGGCCCCGAACCACCGAAAATGGATCCAGTAGGGAGCCACATGCGAACCCTACCCCTACCCCCCACGATTTCTGAGGGGGAGGGTGGGGTTCACTCCGTTCGGGAGCTCCCGAGCGAAGTGAACCCCACCCTCCCCCTCAGAAATCGTGGGGGGTAGGGGTAGGGTTCGCATGTGGCCCCCCATCCAGGACGAGACTACCCCCCAGGAAGAGGTCGAGACCTTTGGGGCCGCGCAGTGGAAAAAAAAACAGGTCGCCGGATGTCTGGATCTGACCAGCCTCGAGCTTATCCCCGTCCTTACGGTGGGCGGGCAAAAAGCGAGGACCATTTCAAGGAAGCGCCCTCAAAAACCGAGGGGAATCCTCAAGATCGGCACCGAGGTGAGGTGATGCCAAACACGGGGAGAATCGGTGAGGATCTCCGCACCTCGGAATGATTAAGACGAGTACGAGCACGAACAGTTCGATGACGACGACGGCACCCACGAGCACGCCCAGCACGCAAGCGAGCATCCGTCGCCCCGGGCACGGAAGCGCGACAGACCCACCCAAGTACTTCGTGCCCCCCAAAGTCTCTCTGGAGGCCCCCATAAGTCTCAAGGAAGCCAGAGGGCGCGCTGAAGCGTCGGCATTGGAGCCTCGAAAGCCTCCCGAACATCGACGACGAAGTTTGCGGCGGCCCCCCAAGAGGCCGCGAGTCTCTGGAGGCCCACAAAGTACCGAAAACGCAGCAACAACAACAACAACAACAACAACAATTACTAGCACGTGGGGACACTCCGTTCTCACCAGTGCCAGGGTTTTCATAGGAGGCGGGCAATACCCCCACTTTGTGGGGGGGCCGGTTCAAGCTCTACCAAATTTCCAAACGACTCTTCGCCACCACCCACACCCAGCTTCCCGCCCTATGACGTTCGGACACTTCACTTCGTGGCATGCGGACGACCGTGGCTACTATTCAGGGCCCCGCGGCCGACGACGACGGCGTGCGCGCGCGAAGAAAAAACGAATGTGTCCCGCATGGTATTATTTGACAGGGATGATGGCCCTGGCAGGTGCGCAACCGTTGTTGCAGAAGTTCGAAAAAGTTGCTCGCAAAAGCCCGTTTGACAGAAATGTTTAAAAAGTGTTGGGTTTCCTACGAATCCGCAAGAGCGCGCGGGATGAAATTTTGACATTTTTTTGAAAAACCATTGGTTTTTTGATGTTTTTATGTTAAAATCGCTACGAAAACTAAGGTTTTGGAAGGATTTCGTCTTGCGCGCGCGAATGTCCACTTTACCTTATTTTTTGCAAGGGATTCTTGAAGTTTGGTTATGTTAGAACAAGAAATGTCCACTTTAGCTTATTTTTTGCAAGGGAAAACGGATCGTAACAAAACAACCGGATCTGGACACATCGTTTTGCCTGAGGCTTCCTCACGAAAATGATGAAAATGTGGCTGCGGCCTAGGCGCGGCGGGGGGGCGTGCACCAGGGGGCCCAACAATAATTATTCTTTAGAAGTAATAATGTTCAACAACAACAACAACAACAACAACAACAACAACAACAACAACAACAACAACAACAACAACAACAACAACAAAAACTCGCAGGACGATGACGACCACGACGACGGACGACGACGACGACGACGACGACGACGACGACGAAAACGTTGACGACGACGACGAAGACGACGGACGACGACGACGACGACGACGACGACGACGACGACGACGACGACGACGACGACGGCGGCAGCGGCGGCGACGACGACGAAAACGAGAACGACGACGACGATGACGACAACGACGACGATGACGACCACGACGACGACGACGGCGACGACAACGACGACGACCACGACGACGACGGCCGACAACGAACACGACAGCGGCGACGACGAGAACGACGACGGCGAGGCTGGACGACCACGGACGACGACGACAACAACGACGACGACGACGACGACGTTGACAACGACCACGACGACGGACAACGGCGACGGCCGACGGGAGAACGACGACGGACGACGACGGCGACAACGGATGACGACACGAGAACGACGGCGACGGAGAGACGACGGGGTTGTGGGGAGGAGGGCGACGACGACGGCAACAACACATGGAGACCGCGGACGGCGACGAGGGACGACGCCAAACGACGACGTCGACGACGACGGGCACGACAGCGGCGACGACGAACGACGACGGCGAGGACGGACCACCACGAACGACGACGACGACGACCACGACCACGACCACGACAACGGACCACGGCCACGAACGGCGGGAGAACGACAACGACGACGGACGACGACGACGGCGACAGCGTTGCCAACGGACGACGATGACGGAAACGGCGGCGACGAAGGCTAGAGACGAAGGACGGCGACAAGGGACGAGAAAAAACGACGACGACGACGTCGACGACGATTCCGACGACGGACGACGGACGACGAAGGCGACGACGACGACGACGACAACAGCGACAACGACGGACGACGACGACGACGACGACGACGACGACGACGACGACGACACACGACGACGACGACGACGAAGACGACGACGACGACGACGACGACGACGACGACGGAAGTCGATGGCGACGACGACGACGATGGAAGTCGATGGCGACGACGGAAAAGACGGAGGACGTCGTCGTCTGCCGCCCATCATGCAAACGATCTTGGGGGGATCAAGGTGTGGACTTGGGTGCGGGCTCCGGGGTCACATTCCCCCCTGCGAAATTGGTGCTTTCGCGTTCCCTCCCTTCTCTCCGCTTTGCACTCTATCGCTTCCCCTATCTCTTCCTTTTCCTCTTGCTCCCTCTCTCTCTCTCTCCTGCTCCGCCTTCCTCTGCCCCTATCCCTCGGGCTTTCTTTCTTTGCCACAGCCCAAGCGGCCTTGGACTTAGCCTTTTCTACACCACGTTGCAAGAAAGGGCACGCCCAGCCCACGGGAAGCCGCATGTAATGGCTTTACCTCTGCGCCGAATACGGTCAGGTGTACTTCTGGAAGGATGCCATGTGCAATCCACGGCGCATGTGCCATGTACTCGCTGTCGTCGTCATCGACACCCCGCTTACCCCAGAGCCGGATGATGAGCGGTGCTGCCGCGCAATCTCGTTCGAGAAGCCCTCCGTGAATCAAGGTGATAAGGTTGGCGCTGTCTCTGTGCAAAATAATCGTATATCTCCTCGCCCACGTGCACCGCCTGTCCATGGTGAGATCAGCCTAGCCGTCGGCCACCTTGCCATGATCCCGACTCCATTTCTGAACCGAGTCTTGACAGATGCGCGGGGGTAGCAAACCACTGCCTAGATATGATCGACAATCCTGTTCAGCACCTGTGTTAGGAGAGGCTCGTACGCTGGGTCGTGTGCCTTAGCATGTCCACATACAACATCTCGTAAGTTTTCGGTCGGTGCATCCGTTTGAAAAGAAAATGCTGCCTCGCCGACGCCCAAGGAACGTTGACCGCGACGGTGTCGAGCACTTCGTTTGGCACCTGCTCAAGACCATCAACAAATAGCTCATTCTTCTAGGATTCCCAGTCTGAGCACATGCGTTTTGTTGTGCGATCTTGGGCAGCCTCGTCGTCGTTCACCGGCAGTCGCCATTTTGAACATGTAGCGGATACGACATGCACGCAAGTTGCCTCCCAGGCTGGCCATGACATGAACCCTCGTTGGTGGCGCCAGTGCGCTTTCAAAACCATCGCGACTGAATATTCCCATGCTGGTCGATGTCCGCCACTTCGCTGGGGAAGGAGGGGGAGAAGAAGGAAGGGGGAGGAGGAGGGACGAGGAAAGGGACGAGGCACGAAGGACGGGGCAGAGGACGAGGAAGGGCAGGGAGGGATGCGACGGGGGGGCAGGAGGAGTGGAGCGCTCCTGCTTGCGGGCGGCCCACGGCGGAGGACTGGCGCGGCGAGTCGCTGGCCGCCTGGCGCCGCCCCCGCCGGCTCTGCATTTCTGGTTTCTCTGCAGGGCAGGAGAGCCACACTCGCAGCACGGCGAAGGCAGTGGAAAAGGCATCGCCTTTTGTATGGTTCGGCAACACCCTGGGCTGTCTGGCGTGACGGGGGGGGACTGCCGATGACCTAGCCTTCTCGCTGTGGGCAGCACCACGTATGCACGCGCGCACCGACACTGCGCACACCCGTCGGACCCGCGCAACCGACAAGGTCAGGCGATCCAGGAGGGAGAGGCGGGGCTGGCGGACCCTGGACAACAGACACTCTCTATGGAACCATTGGATCGGGAGTCCACGGTCTCGGCGCCAGCAGAGCTGCGCTCGCGGATCTGGCCATGGATAACACCGCCGCCCTCATCAGATGCAGTGCGGACGCGGCCGCGAGAAACCCTCGTAAGAGTACCAGCCCTGAAAACCCGCAAGCGCGAGAATCAGGCGGGGGGGCAGCTCCTTCAACTGCGTCTGAAGTCACCACGCAGCGCGCGGAGCGAAACCCAGGGTACCCTTAGGTCGGGCATGTCCTCCCACAGGCGGATGTTGGAAGGATTTGCTCTTAGTAGTTGTTCTTCTTTGTCATATGAATAGAAATCTCCCACCACACACACAAACAAAAAACAAACAAAAAAAATGCTGCTCCTGTAGACGAACCTACCCGACCTAAGGGTACCCTGACGAAACACACTCGGTCTCTTGATGCGCGCCGCCACTGTACACGGCATCCGGCAGGGCCCCAAGCTTTTTGTTAGCAGTGGGGGGCGGCGGGCCCTCGGGGACACAGGGCCCCGGACCCCGGGGCCCTGCCCCAGGACGAGCCCTTCAATCCTGGAGTCGCTTGCTGACAGCCCCGGGGGCCGTGGAGGATCCCTCCTCCTCCTCCTCCTCCTCCTCCTCCTCCTCCTCCTCCTCCTCCCAGGACGAGCTCTTCGTCCTGGAGCCGCTCTCTGAAAGCCCCGGGGGCCGTGGAGGACCCCGATCGGGGCCCCTTCAGTAAAACATGGTTCAGTGAAAACGACCTCGGGCCCAAACCTGGCGGGCGCAAGCCTGGAAAAGGACGGCCGCGGCGCACTCTCGAGAACCGAAAACGGACAGCTCACTAATCGACGAAAGCCCGAAAACGGCGAAAACCTCTGGACCCGATTCCCTCAGGACCCGTTCCCCCCATGGCCAGGCCTCCGCGGCACATTGCCTCACCCGTTGGAGCAAAGCGCGCTCCGGCGAAGCGACCAAAAAGGGCGAGGGCAGAAGGCTCAGAAGTCCTCTGGCCTTCTGAGAAGCTCGCCAAGCCTCACCCGAAGACGCAGGCGGCTTGCAGCCGGCCTGTCTAAGAAGGACGTACGAGAGAGCGCGCCCGTCGCACACTTCCAGAGGGGGGATCCCCCCCCCTGCGCTGCCCCCCACCCCTGAGCTTCCCCTGCCCGAACCCCCGCCCCTCTGCTTCTCCGCCCCTTGGAAATTACCCCCCCCCCCTCCCCCCCTGTCGCGCTCCGAAAAGCTAAACCAACGAAAACCAACGATGCGCCGAAAACCTAAGGGGCGCCGAAAAACAAAAGGGGCGACGAAAACCAAAAGGTAACCGAACACGAAAAAGGCGCCGAAAGCCAAAGGGGCGCCGGAACCGCAAAGGGCGCCGAAGGGGCGGCGAAAACCAAACTTCCGCCTGAAACCAAAGAGACACCGAAAACCACAAGCACGCCGAAGACCAACAGGGCGCCGAAAACCAAAGAAGAACAGTAGCTTCGAAATCCCACCTTCAGCCAGGGCATCCAGCTGGAAAAGCCAACAGAATGAGGGGAGGGGGGCTAGCTTTGGAAGCCCAGCACCCCATCTTTGGAAAGGGGAGCCCAGGCTGAACCGGGCCTCCGAAAAGAAGGGTGGGGGTCAGCTTCCAAGCCCCCCCCTTAGCCAGGGACCTCTGGGCTGCAAAATCCAAACACAGCAGGGGGGGTGTAGCTTCGGACCCCCACCCCTTTGAAAGGGGAGCCCAGGCTGAACCCGAGCCCCGAAAAGAGGGAGAGGGGATAGCTTGCAAGCCCCCCCTTAGCGAGGGCCCCCCAAACTAACGAATGCCAACAGAAGAGGGAGAGGGGGGGTAGATTCGGAGGCCCCCCCCTTTTTAGTAAGGGGTGTGTGACGGACGCGCTCTTCCTTGCGGACGTACGATAAGGATACAAGGGCATTGCGGCGGCCCAGGATGGGCCGAAGGGGAAGGGTGCAAGGGTAAACTGGCAAGTTGCTCATCCTTCCTATGCGGGTCGCAGGCGGCGAATCGTCTTCAAAGAACAACGTCCGCAGTGGCGCGAACAGCGAACCCTGTTCAAAATGAGCAGGAATTGCTCTTGGGCACCGAACCCATTCTTTCCGGTTCCATGTCGATCGTCGTGAGGGAACTTGGAAATCCCGTGGGAGTACAGTCGAGGAGTTGATCTAAGGAACCCTAAATAAGGAACGAGGCCCCTTTTTTCCATAAGTTAAACTTCGATGTCCGATCGAAAGCACAAGGAAAACCCGAGGCAAGCCGCGAAACACCCAAGGAACGCGGAGCCCCTCCCCAACGAAAAGGGTTCTCCTTCAACACCCCTACTGTACGGTCGAGCTGCGACCATGGAGGGACGCCGGACACGAGCAGACGAGGCCCCTTCCGGACCAGCAGTGGAGCGCGGGGGGGCACGAGCGGCGCGGGAGGAGCAGCTATGTGAAGGGGCCCAGGGACACACAAATAAGTGCACACTAATAAAAAGATTCCCCATAGTTTCCTACATTTCCTGGGTTTCTGTCTTCAGGGCCCCGACTGCCCATAGTTTCCCACATGTTCTGGGGAATCGAGGATTAGTTGTGTCTGTGTGTTTCCTTTCCTCCTGACTATGGAAGAATGCCAGGGGCAGCAGGCCCCTTCCGAACCCGCACCGCTCCTGTGCTCAGCGCCTTGATTGCACGTCCGGCTTCTGACGCGACGACTTCGGCATCGCCCTCTGACGCCACGTGTACAGTCGAGGCGTTGACCTAAGGAACCCTAAATAAGGAACGAGGCCCCTTTTTCCCCTAAGTTAAACTTCGATTTCCCATGGAAAACCTGAGGGAAACTGCAAAACAATCGAGGAACACCGAGCCCCTCCCCAACGAAAAGGGTTCCTTCTTCAAGGCCCCGACTGTATTTTCTGCGTTCCTTCTTCAGGGCCCCGACTGCAGCAGCGCCCCGGGGCCCGGAAAGCCGGCGGGCACCGGCCCCGTACTACACACGGAGAGGCCGGCCGCCGCCGTCCGGAGAGAGCGGCCCGAGGCCGGCACGCCGCCCGAGCACGGCGGCGACGGCGCAGAAGTCCTTCAAAGCTCAGGCCGGGCGTGTCCCCCTACAGGGGGATATTGGCCGAAAACAAAGAATAGTTCAACAATTTTCAAATATATATATATATATATATATATATATATATGCATACAGACAAACAAACGGACGAAACCATATATATATATATATATATATGTATCCCTGTGCACCCACCAAGAACCCCCCTTTCTCATGATTAAATATGATTTTATATATGATTCCTACGATTTTCGGACTCACTTTTGAGGCTCTTGTTTTGAAGACTTTTTGGGCTCCCTTCTACTCAACTCCCTCCGTCTCCAACACAACACCCAGTACTCAACAGCCTCCTTCTCCAACACAACACCCGAAACTCAACAGGCTCCCTCCCCAAGCTGAACTTGAAAAGAACCTTCTACTCAACTCCCTCCGTCTCCAACACAACACCCAGTACTCAACAGCCTCCTTCTCCAACACAACACCCGAAACTCAACAGGCTCCCTCCCCAAGCTGAACTTGAAAAGAACCTTCTACTCAACTCCCTCCGTCTCCAACACAACCCCCAGTACTCAACAGCCTCCTTCTCCAACACAACACCCGATACTCAACAGGCTCCCTCCGTCTCCAACACACACACACACATGTACTCCAGATCCTACCACCACAACACGACGCGACACCCGAAACTCCACCCGCACCCGCCCCCCTTTTTTCTTGGCATCTTCCAAGAGAAAAGGGGGGTTCATGATGGGTGCACCGGCGCATATATATATATATACACACACTTCAAATACATCTATATATATAAAAATGTATATATATATATATATCGGACGAAAACAAAGAATAGATCAACACATTTCAAAAGTAGCACAAAATATGTTTTGTTTTTTGAATGTAAACCACCACACAAAAAAAAAACAAAAAAAAACACAAAAAAACTATGTTATGACTACTTTTGAATAGTCCCTCTGTAGAGGGGCAGGCCCGATTTAGCCTGAAGCCAATCCCCACCCCGACCAAGTGAGCGTTGTTTTTATTCGGCGTTTCGACATTGTGAGGATTGGGGGGAGGGGAGAGGGGTCTGGCTCCGGACCTCTGCTTAGTGCGACTGCTTGCAGCAGTGCGTCCGATGGGGGGAGACTCCACCTGCTCGAAACAGGCGCCCAAAACAGCCAAGATCTATTCTAGGGGGGAGGGGGGGAGGGGGGGTGCAAGGGCCCGCGCCGATCGGCAAAACAATGAATCAAAAAACGATTACCACCATGTGTCAATCCCCCAGGTGATTGTTCTTTGACCTGGGCCGAATGTCGATGCATGCGCTTCTTCCTAAAAAAGGAACGCTGGCGAAAGAGACTCCTGAGACCGCGGCGCTGCCCTTGCGACTCCGAGGCGCGTGCGAGTGACAGCGCCAGGCGACGACCCGGCGGGCGAGATGGGCATCGCCCGTCTTCAAAGTCCCTTTCCAACCCATTTGGAACAACATGATCGACTGCGAGGCGGGAATTGATCCATATCCACCGCCTGGGAACCGACGTCCTGGTGCCCCAGCGGGCGGTGGATATGGATATGTTTCGGCCCCCGGGGCCCGAATGTGTCCATACCCGCCGCTTGCCAAGGCTCCGAAAACTGACCCTCCGGGCGGTGGTCGCATTTATCGGGAGCGGCCAAGAGGGGGGTGTCCAGGAGGGGGGGGTGCAAATCATGACCGGCGGCATGTGCGCGGCCCAGCGGGGGGGCCAGGGACGTAATGAAATAAGAAGAGGCGCCATGAAATCTGGGGAAACATCATGGCCCCCGCCATACTATCCACCCCCCCCATAGTCATCACCCCCCTCTCTTCCGCCCCGAATATAAATTCCCGCCTCGGATCGACGGCCCACGACCGACAGCCAACGACCGTCGGTCGGCCGACGACCGCGCGTTCCCGCGGCGCGCCTGGGGCGCGCCGCCCGCGCTGCTGCCGCTGTGGCGCGCCTGTGGCGCCCCAGGGGCGCGCTGCCTGGTGGGGAGGAGGCCGGCCTTGGCCAGGCCGAGGAGCAGGAGGCTGCGATCAAAGCTGGGCTCCCCCAGAGGAGGAGGAGGAGGAGGAGGAGGAGGAGGAGGAGGAGGAGGAGGAGGAGGAGGAGGAGGAGGAGGAGGAGGAGGGCGAGGAGGGCGAGGAGGAGGGCGAGGGAGGAGGAGGAGGAGGAGGGCGAGGAGGAGGAGGAGGAGCTGAAGGAGGAGGGGGACGAGGAGCTGAAGGAGGAGGAGGAGGAGGAGGCGAAGGAAGAGGGGGAGGAGCTGGAGGAGGGGGAGGAGGGGGAGCGACTGCAGGAGGCGGGAAGGAGGGAAGGGGAAGGGGGGCCCCGAGACTCGGGCGTGGACCTGTTTCACCACCGGGCGGCCCCGCCAAGCTTCGGGCCCCTGGGCCAGTACGGATCGATCTGGCTCAGAGAATACCACAGACAGATGAGGTCCAGTTGGCGGCGCGCAAAAGGTAACCAGCCTCGAACCTATCCCTATCCCTAAGATGGGCGAGCAAAAAGCGAGGACAATCTTAGGGATAGGCCCTCAGAAACTGAGGTAATCCTTAAGATCGGCATCGAGGTGAGGTATTGTCAAACATAAGGACAGGGATATGTTTCAAACTGGTAAGCAGGGGGTGGAGGGAGGGGAGAGGGCTTCTTAGGAGGAGGCTGCTTCTTAGAAGGCGCTGGCCTTACGTCTAAAGACAAGGCCCGCGCCTTCTGAGAAGCAGGGGTGCCTCTAAGAAGCCCTCTCTCCTCCCCCCACCCCTCTCTGCGCGTGGCTGATCTAGGGCTCCGAGTTCAGACATTGCCACAGACCGATGAGGTCTAGGGCTCCGGTCGCGATTCTGCGCGATGTTGAATTGTTCGCAACGTCGGATCTCAGGGTTGGTCTGGGGGGGCAGCTCTTTAGACACCCGCAGCGTTTCTGCGACGATCGGCCCGGGGCTCCGGGCTCGGACAATGCCGCAGACCGATGAGGTTTAGGGCTCCGGTCACGATTCTGCGCGATGTTGAATTGCTCACAGCGTCGGATCTCAGGGTTGGTCTGAGGGGGGCAGCTCTTCAGACACCCGCAGCGTTTCTGCGACGATCGACCCGTCAACTCGGGGCGTCAACCCGGTTCGTCAACTCGCCTCGGTAATTCCTACGTTCACAAAAAAATCCGATCGGATACAATCCCCGGACAACCCCCCGGACAAGCTGGACAACCCCTCCAACATTGATGCAATGAGCTTCCCAACATAGAATCGCGAGGACGTCAACCCCTCCTGGACGAGCCTCCCAAGGATTTTGTTCCATACAACATAGCACGTCAACTTGGCACGTCAGCTCGGTGCGTCAACTGGGGTCCAGAGCCCACTCTCTAGTGTGCAGTCTTCTCCTCGGGGGAGGTTCCAAAGGGGAGGCGACCTCCGCCACCCAGGCGTGCACGAGATCTGTCCCCGCCTGGGGCTTCAGCCGAGCTGCGACCACGGAGGGACGCCGGACAGGAGCAGACGAGGCCCCTTCCGGACCAGCAGGAGCGCGGGGGGGCACGAGGGGGGCGCGGGAGGAGCAGCTGTGGAGGAATGCCGGGGGCAGCAGGCCCCTTTGAAGGGGCCCAGGGACACACAGATAAATACACACAAATAAAAAGATTCCCCATATTTTCTTGTATTTTCTGGGTTTCTGTCTTCCCGCCCACTGCCCATATGTTCCCATATTTCCTATGGGAATCGAGGATTAGTTGTGTCTGTGTGTTTCCTTTCCTCCTGACTATGGAAGAATGCCAGGGGCAGCAGGCCCCTTCCGAACCCGCACCGTTCTTGTGCTCAGCGCCTTGATCGCACGTCCGGTTTCTGACGTGACGACGTCGGCATCGCCCTCCGACGCCACGCGTGTCGCTCCACTGGGGACGATCTTGGATCATACTGGCCCAAGCCGATCCAGACCGTCTCCTGCAAGGAGCACGTCCCTGCTGGGTCTGGTCTGGCCGTCCTGCCCCCCGCAGGTGCAGAAAAGCTACATGGGCATCAGACTAAAACTTGGGGAGATCCGCACGGATTTCTTGGATCGGCGCTGGATCCCCCTCCCTGGCAAGCGGAGTACGCCAGGGACAGCGCTGGAGGCGCCCGCGAAGGGGACCCGCCGATCCGAGGAAGCCGCGCGAACCTCCAACGGTATAATGTTCATGTCGTTGCTCATTGTCCGAGGCACGAGAGCAGCAGGACAGGAAGGAGGAGAGAACGAGGTAGTGGAGGAGGTGAAGCAAGGGCAGCATGCCGAGAGGAGAGCGGGCACGGAGACGGAGGAGGGACACGGAAGAGGAAGGAGGAGGGGGGGGGGAGGGAGGAGGGCGTTGGAGGCGAGGAGGCGAGAAATGAGAACACGGAGCAGGGGGATGCCGTTTTTTTGTTTTCTCGGCCCCAGGAGGCTTCGGCCACTTCCCCTGGGGTGGAGCCCTCGCCCCGGCCGTGTGCCTCCGATGGCCCCCCCGGGGCCCGGAGGCCGAGCATCGACAGCAAGTGACGGGAGCGAAGAATCAGAGCGTCGGTCCCCTCACCCGCTCTCGGGTGATGTTGCTCCCATCGCACTCTCTGGGACCACATTCGGGGAGACGTAAGACTCGGGTACGGGGGACTCGGGTTGGCCCGACGGGGCCTACATAAAAATGACGAGGCCCAATCTGAAATTTGACGCGGGCTCCCGCTGCAGACACCCCACGAAAACTGGACCGTCAAAATCCAGGACGCGCTCGTCAAAAAAGCGTCAGCAAACCCGAGTTCCAGCTTACTCGGGTCTTGCGTTTTCCCGACACATCCCAGAAACATGGGGGGGGAACGTGGCCCTGGAACCTGCGATGCGGCGCCGACCGAGCGGCGAGAGGCCCTCGAGAGCGAACCCACGCAGTCCTGTGCGGGGTGGCCGTGCCGGGTGGGGCCATCGAGCCCATATCAGCCACTAATGGTAAGTCGGGCCTGTCCCCCTACAAGGGGATCTTCGACGAACAAACAAAAAAAAAAATACTCCACAAACAGTCCCCAGACGATGTTCGGACTTTTTTGAGATTATTTTTGGGGTATTTTTTCGTCGAAAATCCCCCTGTAGGGGGACAGGCCCGACATAACACTAATGGGCGATTGAGGGCCGATGCATACCCCTCTGAGCCTCACGCCATTACCGTTGCCCCCTGGCTTTCAGGCCATAGCTCGGCTCTCAGGCGGGCGTCCGGGAGGCTCTGGACACCCCCAGACGCCCCTCGGCGAGGCGCAGCAGCTGGAGAGCATCCCGAGGCTGAAAGAGCTCCAGCAACCCACCTAAGCACTCGAAAACCATGATCGAATTGTCGGTTCGCCGCCACGGAAACTTTGTACAACAAAAAAGCCTTCGCAAAACAAGAAACGCCGCCACGAAAACAGCAGAACACATAATATCGATCTTCGGTTTCCGAGACGAGCCTGAGAGGGCGAATTACCCCAGCGAGGGGCCCAACCGCCTGACGCTGCGAGTGCTGCCAGGCAAGCGCAAGAGGAAGGACGGGGACGAACAAAAAAAGGCTAGACTGTGGCGAAGTCCTGGCGAAGACGGCGCCGTGCGAACCCTGCCAAGGGGGCCTTCGGTGGAGCTTCCTTTGCGGCCACGATCCTCGCGAGGAGCGTGCCGAAACGGGCGAAGGGGGACGCATGCGGACCCTGCCACTGAGGCACTCGGTGGTGCTCCGCATGGGGCCACGATCCTTGCGAGGGGCGTGCCGCAGTAGACGGGGGCACCCTGCCTGCCAAGGAGGCCGTCAGTGGAGCTCCCTTTGCGGCCACGATCCTCGTGAGGAGTGTGCCGGAACGGGCGGGGCGACGCATGATGACGCTGCCACTGAGGCCGTCGGTGGAGCTCCAAATGGGGCCACGATCCTCGCGAAAGGCGTGCCGAAATGGGCGGGCGGGGGGTGCGCAAGCGGACCCCTGCCTGCCACTGGGGCCTTCGGTGGAGCTCCCTTTGCAGCCACGGTCTTCGTGAGTGGTGTGTCGGAACGGGCGGACCGACGCATGCGGACCCTGCCAGTAAGTAAGGCCTTCGGTGGAGCCCCCATGGAGCCACTATCCTCGCGAGGGGCGTGCCGAAACGGGCGGGGGGGAGGCGCCCATGCGGACCCTGCCTGCAACTGGGGCCTTCGGTGGAGCTCCCTTTGCGACCACGACCCTCGTGAGGGGTGTACCGAAACGGGCGGGGCTACGCATGCGGACCCTGCCACTGAGATGAACGGTGGTGCTCGGCATGGGGCCGAGAAACTCGCGAAAGGCGAACCGAGATGGGCAGGGGGGACGCGTGCGGACCCTGACTGTCACTCAGGCCGTAGATGGAGCTCCCCTTGCGGCCACGTCCTCGCGAGGGGCGTGCCGAAGCGGGCGGGGGGGGACGCATGCGGACCCTGCCACTGAGGCCATCGGTGGAGCTCCGCATGGGGTCACGATGCTCGCGAGGGGCGTGCCGAAATTCGCGGGGGGGGACGCATGCGGACCCTGCCTGCCACTGGGGCCGTGAACAATAGCGCTACCTATGGGCCACCGGTCATCCTGAGGGGTGTGCCTAAACGGCGGGGCCTTCGGTGGAGCTTCCGATGGGGCCACGGTCGGAGGAGGAGGAGGAGGAGGAGGAGGAGGAGGAGGACGAGGAGGAGGAGGAGGAGGAGGAGGAGGAGGAGGAGGAGGAGGAGGAGGAGGAGGAGGAGGAGGAGGAGGAGGGGGGGACTGGTGCGGACCCTGCCTATCACTGGCGCCTTCGGTATAGCTCCCTTTGCCGCCACGATCCTCGTGAGGGGTGTGTCGAAACGGGCGGGGGACGCATGTCGACGCTGCCACCGAGGCCGTCGGTGGAGCTTCGCGTGGGGCCACGATCCTCGCGAGGGGCGTGCCGAAATGGGCGGGGGGGGCGCATGCGGACCCTGCCTGCCACTGAAGCCTTCCCTTCGGTGGAGCTTCCTATGGGCCAGCGATCCTCCTGAGAGCGTGCCGAC